CCTCTCTGCCGTTTGATTTCCTAAATATTTTGAAGGTGCTCCTAAGTCAGATCCTATAGACATGACTTGTGCTTGTTAATGATTGCATAAGAATCCATAGAATGGCTATACCACAATGTTTTCAGTCATTCCCCAATTGATGAGTGCTTACTCTATATCCTAGTTTGCCCCATCTTGCAGTGAACAGGAAGAGAAGTCTAAACCCTAGCACCCAATGTTCTTGTTGTCCCACTTTGAACCAACTCCCATGCATATACACCCTGGAACACTGAAAGCAGGACCTGACTGAGGACATCGAGGCTGGACCATGCATGACCTTGGAGAGAAGTCAGGTTTAGGGCCGGCCCATTTACTGTCCAGTCCTTCTCAGTCTATTCTGCTGGCTTGTCATCCTCAACCCAACTTCCACATATTGGCATTTCTCAGGGAATTGTTGTGCACATTCCTCTCCTAACAGTACCCTCTTGAGGTGATTCTTCCCAGTCTTCTGGCTTTAAATATTACCTGTGTCCTGTTGTCTTGATAATTCTGCTTTTGCAGCCTACATGGAGAGTGGACTTCTCCAAACCTCAGATACTTAACAAATGCAAATAGGAACTCTTGACACACATGCCTAACTGTCTTTCTTCCTTCTCCAAACCTATCACATCCACTGCCTGTATTCCCTGCAACTATATATAACACCTTCTTTACCAAGACTTGCAAGAAAATACTCTCATAGTAATCGTTCATGTCTTAAGTTTGTTCACCAACTGCCTTCAATCCACCAGCAAGTGATGTTTGTTCTCTTTCCAAAATATCATGAGAACCCATGCACTATTCTTTAAATTCATGTATCCTTTCTGGGCCGAGCCACTGCCATCTCCCAAGTGGGCTACTGCAAAAGGATTCAAATTGGTCTCCCTGCTTTGCTTTGTGCCCCGCCTACTTATGGTATTTTCCACAGAGAGCAGTCAGAGAGAAAGTACTGAATATAATTAGATCATGGCACTCCCTTGGTTCAGTTCTCTCTCTGGCTCCCCAGAGCTCTTTGAGTGAAAATGAAACTCCATCATGGCTCCTTCCCACCACTGCATTGTTCCCTCCATCCCCTCTCTCACTGGGCTCCAGCCACACTGGCATCCTTTCTGCCCCTCCAGTGCCCCTCTTTTCTGCTACAAGGCCAGAGGAATTGCAGTTCTCCCTGCTGGGCAGGCTTTCCCCCTGTTTCCCAGCAGAATTGACCACATATCATTGTCCTCAGAAAGGCCATCCCTGACCTCGCCACTTCTCTTGGGTTCTAGGTGATATGTGCCAAATCATTTCATTTATTTCCCTGAGGGAATTTGTAGCAACCTTTAAGTGCTTTTATAATTTCTGCCATGTTTGTATTCCCTGCTAGAAAATAAGTTCCTTGGATGCAGGGGCTCTCTGTCTAGAAAAATGGCTGGTACAGGGTAGCCCTCCATAAATACTTACTGAAGGGACCTCTCCCTCCCTCTACTTCACCTCTTTCTCCTACTGTTTCACCAATTTCTGCTGGCCCTGTGGGCTGGAATTCAAAGCCAGAGAAAGAGAACTTGTTGAGTTCTGGTTCTTGAATTGGTCCCTCTTGTCCCTTCTGCTTCCAAACAATGGGCTGAGTAGTTCTTCTTGTCATCCCCTGACCCCCTACCCACCAGCAGTCATGGCTTCCTCCTTGGCCTCTGCCTCCTTGGGTCCCTCTTGGCGGCCACCTGGAATGGTGAGGCACAGCTCCTCTGCCTCCTGCCTACAAGCAACCTAAGATTCTCAGGAGATGGCTCCTAAGAGTGGTGACAGTGGCCACCTTGGTCAAGGCACCAGCTGCACAGCAGGCTCTTCCTAAGTCTATGTCCCTGTCCTTTGCTGGCACTAGCCCTGTCTAGGGGTAGAGGGCTTGACTTTGCATGCTGGCAAGGCACATGTCTGTATGTCTGCTTCTCAGTCTTCTTGGGATGCTTTCCAGGCAGCAATGAGAAAGTTCTCACTGCTTCACACCCCATGGTGACCCAGTCAGTTCTGAAGGTGCAGGGTTGTTCAGGTCAAGGCAATGCTGCCACCACAGAAAACAGCTTTATATACCCATGGAAGGTGGATGGACTGGAGTGAGGGGGAGGAGAGAATATGTGCTCGGCAGATGAAACTCCATGGCCACTATAGTCCAATCACATAGGGCATATAGCCCTCTGCTAGCATTTCTCTTATTTGTATGGGCAGCCCAAGCTTTAGTGGAGTGACATCCTGAGGAATGGTTCCATGGTTTGATCAGTTTTTATATTTGACCCCCAAGTCCACAGTTCAACGCCTGGTTCATGGTAACTGTGAAACTCCTATTTATGGAGGGAAAGGGGGAAAGGGGGGAAGAGTTGTTCTTGGAACTGGTCACATCTGACTGTCTTTTTTTTATACTGTCAGCTCTGTCTCAGTGCTGACTGTGTGTGTGTGTGTGTGTGTTCATCTGTGCGTACATTTATACATATATCGATGGGTTCCCCCCAAGTTTTATTGAGATACAATTGACATATAACACTATATAAGTTTAAAGTGTACAACAAAATGATTTGATACATGTACATATCATTAAAATGATTACCACAAGAACTTTAATAAACACCCATCACCTCAGCTACACTTTGTTTTCCCCTTTTAATGAGAGCTTTAAATATCTACTCTTAGCTACTTTCTGTGTTGATATTTAGTTTGTATTAAAGATCTGATCATACCAACTCCCTCCTTGAATGTGTTGAGTGGGCCCTCTGAGCTTGGGTGTAGAATCCAAGCATCTTAGCTTTCTTTTCAGGGCCCCTACACCTTCTAATCCCATCTTCTACCATATACTCTTGGAGATCATGAGCTCTGTCCACATAAGATGATTAGGCATGACGAAAAGTGACTATGTATATGCTAGCACGCTATAGGGCCTTGGACACAGACTAATCCCTCTGTCTCTGCTAATGGAATGCTTTCCATTCTGCCTCAACGTGCAGGGCTGCTACTCATCTTTCAGAGGTCACCTTGGGGGTTTAGTCTTCTGTGCAGTTTTTCTTGATGCCCACCAGAAGAGGTTATTGGGTGGGTCCTCCTTTCTGGAAGAAGTAGGACTCTAGCCTCTGTTGCACTCTACTCTAATGGTTGCTTGCTTGCCTACCCTCTCAGCATTTGGCCTTGTGTGGCCTCTCTGCTCCAGTACACATTGCTCACCTTTCCTCACCTTGCCCACACCTCCAACACATCAACATTCACTACTCAAGTATCACACTGCCTGTCTCTAAGCCCCCAGTGCCAAGTGGTGGGTAGGGCTTCCCTAAATATTAACTGGTGAACTGGGAAGAGACACCTCATCCTAGAGATATTTCTGGTTTTGTTTTTGTTTTGAACATGGATGTGCCATTCATGGTTCACATTGGGAATGTCAGCAAGTCGAGGGCAGAGACAAGAAGAAACAAATGCCTGGCTCTGGATCAGGTCTTGTCCCCGGCTCTTGATTTGACTTTCCTCACCCATTATGGAGGATGGCACTAAGAATAGAGTGCTCTTGATTCCTCCCCTGCTTCCAGGCTGCATGAATTGAGGCTGAGTGGATGGGAGGAGTTGGGGGGCTGAAGAACACCCAGGTCCCTAGTTCTCCCATAGTCTGGAGCAGGGACAGGGTTTCCAGCCCACACTGTCTGCTGCCAAGGTCAGTCTCAAAACCGGTCCATTTCCTCTTGCTTCAGACCCCTGTATATCCCTAGGCTCCATAAATATTTGTGGCATGGCATTATGAATAAATGAGTACGTGTTCTTGTGTTCTTTACTTCTTCCGCGCAAGTGTTGTAGAGGAAGGAAAGAGCTAGAAAACGGGGAGGAATCTCTGAAAAAATGGGTTAGCAGCCTGCAGGGCTGGAGGGGGAGAGTGTCCCATTAGCCCCAGCTCCAGTTCAGAATAGGAGTTGTTGCCTTGGTGGCGGTAATGTTGGGGAGAGTGTGTGCGTTGAGGTGGGGAAGAACCAACCCCTAAAGGCGAGAAGACCATTTTTGCTTGGCTTTGTTTAGGCCGGGCAAGTGTTTTCTCAATGCCACCCATCTTCTCTTGCAAGGTGCTTGATTTAATCATTTAAATGTTCTATGGGGAGAGGAAGGATAAAACAAAACTCCCTAAATCTATGTCAGAGTCCCTTGGTCCACAGGGAACCCTTTCCCTGGCTTCCTCTTCATACACATCCAGTTGATTGAGAGGCTGAGAACCCACACTCCCTCCCGCCAACACCAAGCCTCCCGCTCCCGCCCCCTCCCACCGCCCGCTGCCCCGCAGCCCCGCAGCAGCCACAGGGGGAACCAAAGAGACAGAAGCCTTCCCAGCTGCCCGGACCACAGACGCCAACACCCCCCGCCCCACACCACACACCGCCCGCCGGCGCCCAGCACGCTAATCCACGACCGAGGGGCGGCACCAGCAGCGGGCTGCAGGCTGCGGTGACTCGCACCGGCGCGCTCCTGGCAGCGCTAGCCATCCCAGGTGACTGGGACTCGCTAGATCGGCTGACCCGGGGTCCTCTGCCCCAGCTCGCGCCCCCGGCCCGGGTTCCGGCTCCCACCTGCCCTCCAGCCCTCTCCCGCCTCTCACTCCCCACCGCAGGATCGCTGGAAGGGAGGTCGCGGCAGCGGCCCGGCGGCACCGGCGACCGTGGCGACAGCGGCGACAGTGGCGGCAGCAGTGGCGGCGGCGGAGGCTGCGGCGGCGACCGTGGCAGAGGCGGTGGCGGAGGCCTCCGTGGCGGAGGCGGAAGCAGAGGTGGAGGCCGAGGCCCCAGTAGAGGAGGCAGTGGCGGAGGCCACCCTGGGGGAGGCGGTGGCAGCCCTGGCGGAGGAGGAGGCGGAGGCCGCCCTGGCGGCAGCGGCCGTGGCGGCGGTGGAGGCCAGCGAGGCCGAAGCCGCCGCCGCCGCCGCAGCACAGGCTGCAGCGCCCGCCTTGGGGGAGTCGGATGCGGATGCTGTTGCGGAGGTGGAGGCGGCAGTAGCGGCGGCGGCCGCTGCCGCCGCGGATGCAGATGCAGAAACGGGCGGGGGCTCCGAGGGGAACCCGGACTTTCCTATGGCCTCGCTGTACGTGGGCGACCTGCACCCTGAGGTGACGGAGGCAATGCTGTATGAGAAGTTCAGCCCGGCCGGGCCCATCCTCTCCATCCGCATCTGCAGGGACAAGATCACCCGCCGCTCGTTGGGCTATGCGTATGTCAACTACCAGCAACCGGTGGACGCCAAGCGGGCCTTGGAGACCCTGAACTTTGATGTCATCAAGGGCAGGCCGGTGCGCATCATGTGGTCCCAGCGGGACCCCTCGCTCCGCAAGAGCGGAGTGGGCAACGTCTTCATCAAGAACCTGGGCAAGACCATCGACAACAAGGCTCTGTACAACATCTTCTCGGCGTTCGGCAACATCCTGTCCTGCAAAGTGGCCTGCGACGAAAAGGGGCCCAAGGGCTATGGGTTCGTGCACTTCCAAAAGCAGGAGTCCGCGGAGCGGGCCATAGATGCGATGAATGGCATGTTCCTGAACTACCGCAAAATTTTCGTTGGGAGATTCAAGTCGCATAAAGAACGAGAGGCCGAAAGGGGAGCCTGGGCCAGGCAATCCACCAGTGCTGACGTCAAGGATTTCGAGGAAGACACCGATGAGGAGGCCACCTTCCGATGAAAACATCCCAGGAGCGAGCCAGCCAGCAGAGCCAAACCTTGGCTCCCACCCGGTTTACAACCCCACCCCCATCCCATTCCCCCCAACCCACCAGCAGTGTATTGTATTGGGAGTGCAGGTCTCTCTCTCACCCCTTCCTTCCTCCTTGCTTCTCTCCACCTCTGCCTTCCTGTTTGTCCCTCTCTGTGTCTCTCTTGACTTCCCCCTCCCCTCCCCTCCCCCCACACCCACCTTGGGTGTTGTGAATAATCTTGCTAATCTGTGCCACTTGATAGTTAAAGGCTGCCTCTTCTCCTTGTGGTTTGGTTTAAAAAGCACTTTCTCTCTTTGTTTATTGCACAGGTGATGCAATGTCATGGTAGAAACATCAGGAAGGAGAAGGAAATGAGATGAGGGAAAAACCAAGAGAGTAATTGCTCCTCATGACCCTACTACCCGGAGACAACCACTTTTACCATTTTGGTGTGCTGTTTTCCAGGCTCTCTTATCTCCTCCTCTCTCTCTCACCCTTCCTCACCTCCACCCCGCCTTCCCTTTTAACACAGTGTTATAGAATGGTTCATGTATGTGGTGTTTCTTAACCTGCTTTTTCAAAAACTAAAACCAAACAAATGTCAACCCATTGAACTTCTTTCCATGTTATTCAACAGGCTTGAGAAAGGTCATCTTCAGTGCCTGCAGAGTGTATCTATGGACCCTAACATTTCTGTAACCATCGCCGCATTGTTGGACATTCAGGTGGTGCCTAGTTCTTTCCTGTGTTTAAACCCAGCACTGTGTATACTCTGATGAGTGAATTCTTCCTTGTCAAGCCAAATCTTTGCTAGCGTACAGGATGTTCTTAATTGTGGACTTGCAGGATCCACATGTGGACATTTTAAAGACTGTTCCTGTGTGTTGCCAATTGGCCCCTTCATAAGCATTGTACCAATTTGTATTCATGCCAGTCACCTCAAGTAGTAAAAATAGTATGCCCATTTTCCCTGCATAGTCTCCTGGTCACTGTAATTGGTGTGTGTGCGCGTGTGCCTGCGCATGCGTGTGCCTGTGTCTTGGCCCACTCGATGGTTGTTTTGCTGAATTTAAATACTGTTTATCACCTCCTTTCCCTGAGCCCACTTTCTGCTCTTTTCCCCATTCTCAGAATAATAATCCAGCTTCATTGTCGGAAAAAAAGTTCGCAAGCAGACAAGTCAACAGAAGAAAATTAATTTCACAAGTAATCAGTCTTAATGACCTCCCTGAATCATTTTCTTCTGCATCTAATAGTTACTATGAAGTACATGAAACATATTAGGCTGTATCTCTCTAGTATGTTTGTGATTCATTTGTCATGTATGTATATAGTAATGTACATATTGTTTTTATACTTGCTTTTTGACACCTAAATATGTGTGTGTGTGTTTATACACACAGTACTCTTTAACTTCATTTCATTAAAGATAATTTAAAAATATTATTTCTGGTTGTTAATATTTCATTGAATTAATAACTAAATGAGTAGATACATATATGATAATTTACTGCCCTTTTTCCTTTTGTCAGAAAAATTATTCAGCTTCTTGAAGGAAAAAAGATTATGAAGCATACAAGTTATCCATGTCTATCTCTGTGTTCGTGTTTATACATGTTTTAACTGTTTCCTTAATGTTGCACTTCTAGGTTGTTGCTCATTTTTCCTTATACAAAGCTATCTAGTGAATTATAGTACACAAATCTTGCTCACTTTCCAGATCATTTCCTAAACAAATATTGAAGAGAGAAAAATTTAAGTATCAAATTATACGGGCAGTTTGGTGGCGAAGTGCATTAGTAGATGATCATCTGTAAAGATAGTATTTTATATTTGTAAGATGCACCAGATATTGTAAGGGACCTAGATTACCTGTATTGTTTTCTGCACTTTGTATTGCAGTCATTTCTGTATTTTCTCTATATTTTATCAGGGAAACAGGAGCTTTTTTGTTTTTATTTTAGGCATATTTTATACAGTCTGTACACGAATATAATAGAAAGTATTTTTGTTTATATAGCAAAAGTCACTCCTAATACCACTGCTTGACAAAATACATTTTAAATACATAAATATCTGTATGTTGTTGTTGTTCAGTCACTAAGTTGTGTCCAACTCTTTGTGACCCCATGGACTATAGCACCACTGTTCATTATCTCCCGGAGTTTGCTCAAATTCATGTCAATTGAGTCAGTGATGCTATCTAACCATCTCATCCTCTGCCGCCCCCTTCTCCTTTTTCCTTCAGTCTTTTCCAGCATCAGGGTCTTTCCCAATGAGTCATCTCTTCAAATCAGGTGGCCAGATTATTGGAGCTTCAGCCTCAGCATCAGTCCTTCCATTGAATATTCAGGTTTGGTTTCCTTTAGGATGACTGGTTTAACCTCCTTGTAGTCCAAGGGACTCTCAAGAGTCTTCTCCAGCACCACAAATAGATATCTACATACCTTTGTATTTTAAATAAAATATGCATTTTTTCATTGAAAGTTATTTTCACTGTAATAATTCTCTGGGACCATATTTCTAAATAAATGTTCTTTTGTTCTGTTGTTACATAATATGCCATCATAGAGATGAGCTATAATTCCTACAACCAAGCTTCCTTGGGATATGTTTAAAATAATTCTGAATTTTTACTTGTAAGATCAGTTCTATGATGAGCACCTTTGTACCTGAATGTCTTGAAATATTTTATTATTTTCTACTCCTTACTATTTGAATTGTGGTTTAATGTATATGGATATGTCAAATATTTTTTTTTTGGTCTTTTGCCCACATTTCACTCTTAAAGTCTGTATCAACTGGTAGTGTAGGAAAGTGTACATACCCCCGCCCAACTTCTTAAATTGGCCAAAGTATTTTTTTAAAGTTTTGTGAAATGAAAATGATTTGTACATTTTTATTACTTCATTTAAAAGTGCATTTAAAAATGAGATCAAGCACATCAAAATATACATAAGAACCACTTCAGACATTTATTTCCTATATATTTACAATTTTTCATGATCCATATATAAGGAGTTTTAACAACTATGGACATATTTTATCCCATAATTTGCCTTTCAATATATTATGAAGATACCTAAGGCATCTAAGCCTCTTCAGTTTTATTCTAAATCTCACCATCATTTTATAAGACTGGACTTTTTTGGAAATACAACTGACTTGCAATACTATATCAGTTGCAGGTGTACACCATAGTGCATAGTACGTAGTAACTTGATATTTTTATCAATATAAATTATGCATCATAAAAATTATAAATAGTGACTATACATGCTCGGTTGTACATTACATCCTTGTAACTTTTTTATTTTGTACCTAGTAGTTTGTATGTCTCAATTGCCTTCACTTGTTGTGCCTATCCCCCACCTCTGTCTCCTTTGGTAACCACTAGTTTGTCATCTATATCTATGAAGTAGTTTCTGTGTTGTTATATTTATTCATTTGTGTTATATTTTAGATTCTACATATAAATGAAAGCATATAGTATTTATCTTTCTCTGACTTATTTCACTGAGCATAAAACCCTCTAGGTCCATTATATTGTAGAAAAATGGCAAAATTTCATTTTTATGGTCAAATAACTCTCCATTATATACATAAATGTGTGTGTGTGTGTGTCTGTATCACATCTTTAGCCAGTCAACTGTTGATGGACACATAGGTTGCTACCACACCTTTCCTATTATAAGTGTATTGTAGGTAACATTGGGGCACACATACCTTTTGAATTGCTTTCTTTGCATAAATGATCATGAGTAGAATTGCTGGATTATATGACAGTTCTGTTTAAAAATTTTTGAAGAACCTCCATACTGTTTTCCCTTGTAGTTGCACCAATTTAGATTCCCACCAACAGTGCATGAAGGTTCTTTTATCCATATCCTTGCCAACATTTGTTATTTCTTGTCTTTCTGATGGTAGACATTCTGATAGCTATGAGGTGATATCTCATTATGTTTTTGCATTTCCCAGATGATTTTTGAGACTTGTTTTGTGGCCTAGCTTGTGATCTATCATGGAGAAAGTTCCATGCACAGAACTGGAATATTTTTAAGAGTGTCCTCATTTTGAATATTGAAGTAATTCCTATGTTTTCCCCATTAAATCCAACACTGTGCTGAATAATTTTGCCATTGAATTGCTTTTCCTCCCCATTAAAAGGCATTTATTAGTCCTTTGTCTAGTCCAGGCTGTGAGCTAACACTTAAAAATTTAGACAAAGTTCAGAAATGTTGATTTTAAAGGAAGAAACCGAATCATAATTAATGAATACTTTAGAATTTAGACATTGTTTTTACAAGCTTTATAAAAGCTAGGGAAAAAGTCCCTGCCTGGGAAAAGAAATAAGCTTATTTATGCTATATGATTCTATCAGACTCTCCTTATAAGTCAAGATAGTTTTGAAAATTTGGCAAAAACTGCAGGACAAAGAAACCATTGCTTTTAGGATTTATGCTTGTAGAGTATGGATTGCTGTTACTTATTCACAGAAATGATATTTTAAAATTGATTATATTTATGTATCCCATTATATAAGGGGGTTGAGAAATACCACTTCCCTCCCAAGTACACTGGTGTAGATATCTATTTGTAGTTCATGTTCAGCACAAGGAGGAATCTAGCTTCTGCTTTGATCTAATCAGTGTAAAATCTGTCTCATCGCCACTGAGAAAATAAGCTGAAAGTAATGAGATGACAGGGGATAGATGAGAGAAGAAAGGAGAGGAGAGAGAGACAGCCAGCTAAATAACTACAAGGGAAAACCATTGCCAGAGTGGTAGCATAGTAATATGTAGACAAAGCCACTTAACAACTATCACTGTAGGAATCCAAGTATGAATACAGTAAAGATTATTTTAAGATATGTAATAAGAATGATTTCAGTTTAAATGGAAAAAAATGTTATATTATTACAAAAAATATTATCCCTGTGCAGAGTATATAAAATAGTACAGAGTATACATTATTAGAGAAATGCAAATCAAAACTACAATGAGATATCATCTCATACTGGTCAGAATGGCCATCATCAAAAAGACTACAAACAAAAATGCTGGAGAAGGTGTGGAGAAAAGGGAACCCTCTTACACTGTTGGTGGGAATGCAAACTGATACAGTCACTATGGAGAACTGTGGAAGTTCTTTAAAAAACTGGGAATAGAAGTGCCATAAGATCCAGCAACACCACTGCTGAGCATGCTCCCCAAGGAAACCAGAATTGAAAGAGACACACGTACCCCAGTGTTCATTGCAGCACTATTTACAATAGCTAAGACATGTAAGCAACCTAGGTGTCCATCGTCAAAGATGAATGAATAAGGAAGTTGTGGTATATATACACAATGGAATATTACTCAGCTATAAAAAAGAATGCATTTGAGTCAGTTCTAATGAGGTGGACGAACCTGGAGCCTATTATAGAGTGAAGTAAATCAGAAAAAGAAAGACAAATACTATATATTAATGCATATATATGGGATTTAGAAAGACGGTACTGATGATCCTAAATGCAGGACTGCAAAGGAGACACAGATGTAAATAACAGACTTTTGGGCTCAGTAGGAGAAGGCAAGGGTGGGATGATTTGAGAGAATGGCATTGAAACATGTACGTTACCATATTTAAAATAGATGACCAGCACAAGTTTGATGGACAGGGAAGCCTGGCGTGCTGCGGTCCCTGGGGTCGCAAAGAGTCAGACACGACTGAGCAACTGAACTGAACTGCAAATTCGATGCATGAAGCAGGGCACCCAAATCCAGTGCTCCAGGACAACCCAGAGGGATAGGGTGAGGGGGGAGGCCAGAGGGGGTTTCAGGATGAGAGCAACACATGTATACCTGTGGCCAATTGATGTTGATGTGTGGAAAAAAATCACAATATTGTAAAGTAATTATTTTCTAAAATATCTAATATTTAAAAATAAATTATGTACAGAATATATAAAAGTATTGAATGTATAAAATATTATGCTATAAACATAATTAAAATAATAAACTAAGTATACCTATGGCTGATTCATTTGATGTATGGCAAAACCATCACAAGATTGTAAAGTTATCCTCCAATTAAAATAAATAAATTAATTTTAAAAATATAAACTAAGATTTTTTTCAGCACCTACATGTAAAATAATTACATGTATTATGCTTCTAAATTCTTGCAGAGGTAGGTATTATTTTCTATCAATCCTCATGTCTAATTAAGCACAAAATTTCTGTTGGTTTTATCTCCATGTCTCAGGAATGTCCCTCCTTTTCTCCATCCCCAGTTCCTTGTTTCTAGTTCAGGCCTCTATAATCTCTCACTCAGAATATCACAGTATGTTCTGACTGAACTCTGTTCATAGTCTTGATCACTCCTAATTTGTCCTGTACACTGCAGCTAGAAAAAAGCATCTAAAACTTTGTATCTTTTCATGAAATTCCTATGCTTAAGCTTTTTCAGTGAAATTCTTTTACCTTCAGTATGGAGAAGACAGGGTCTTTCCAGGTGGCTCAGTGGTAAAGAACACAACTGCCAATTCAGGAAACATGGGTTCAATCCCTGGGTGGGGAAAATCCCCTGGAGAAGGAAATGGCAATCCACTCCAGTATTCTTGCCTGGGAAATCCCATTGACAGAGGAGCCTGGAGGGCCACAGTCCATGAAATCACAAAAAAGTCAGATACCACTTAGTGACTAAACAACAACATGGAGGTGGCAATTTATGGCCTGGAATCCAGGACTTCTCCTTATTGAACACTTGATTACCTTTCCAGCCTCATTCCCAATCCCATAGTCCATTCCAGACCCACAGTTCCATATGCCATTGTTGCCAAGTCACCCACAGTTCTTGCAAAGCCCTAAGTTCTTTCTCCTCCAAACTGCTTATTTGCAGCTACATTTTGCCTAGACAATTCCTACTTATCATTCTGAACATTTCTCCTCCTCTAGGAAGTCTTCCATACTGATTCCCAGTTTGGACTTGTTATTTACTAGAGAGCTTTATAATTCTAGTCTGTTCAATCACTTAAAACATGTAAGTATTACGATGGTCTTATACTACAAGTCATTGAAGTCATAAACATAATTGAATGATCAGGAATGAGGAGGGCACTGAGGACCCA